CAGTTGACCCGACAAGTCAGACATTGACAGACGGACCATTGGCGTGTGAGAGGGATGCGGCAAACAAAGGTTATGGTAGGTTCCTGAGGGGGGGGGGGAAAGGCGAGACAGGGGTGGTAGGTTAGCGGGGCTGCGGCCGGCTGGATTATCGATCGCTCAAGTTTGCGTCCTCCCTTGAGTGCGACCACAGCTTCAATTGGGACGGTACGCAAGTGATCGCAATAGTTAACATCAAACAGGCGCGAGAATTTCTCGAAGCTTGACATTCTAACGCGACCAGCATCAACCGCCATGTCTATCCCGACGGCCATTATAAAGGCCTGCGATCACGGCTCTTGGAGCCCTACCCTCATGCTGCATCAGCGATCGCCAATCCCAGCCGTCCACAGACCCGCTAACCTACCACCCCTCCCCGTCAAGTACAGAGAGCCACAACTGTTCTCCTCTCGCCTCTCCCCCCGCTCTGGCACCCGTCGTGACCCTATGCCCCCTCACCCCTCTCACACACTAGTGGTCTGCCTGTCAATGCCTGTCCTGTCGCGCCAACTGGTCTAGTCTCTAACTGTCTCACTTTCTCCCTTGTCTTCATTTCGTCTGACGACGGGTTGGTGTCACCAACTTGAAAATTCACGAGTACAACTCGATTTTCTGAAGAGCCTTCTCTTATTTCATATATGTATGCATATGATAGAAGCGAAGATGCGCGTCCCCGAACATATATGAGAAGAAGAGGCGATCTCTGCATTGTCCTGTTCACAATATGTCCTCCAAACAGCTGACTCCTGCACAAATGAAAGTGCTCAGTTATGAAGCATACTTCAACACCGCAGACACCGATCCGGTCAGTCTCGTGGCCATGGTCGAGTTGATCCTCAAACAAACCGAGGAACCGGACCAGTCAACGCATCTCATTTGTTAACAGGTTGCCGCCTTGGTGATGGCGCACAAACCGCGTGCAATCATTAACAGATCAAAACAGAGCGCTCTCAAGGCACTCAGGACTGACACCGGCATCGTAATACTACCGGCAGACAAATGACGTTCCACAGTCCTGATGGATAAGGCAGAATACATTCGGAAAGCCAACGACCTGCTGGAGGACCGACAGGTGTACCTACCATGTGGCGAGGAATCGATGAAGAAGCTGGTAACGCAACTGAACAAGACGCTCGTCAAGGTGCAGTCGAACAAAGCAATAAATAAGTCGGTAGGGCTGACCGCTGAGCCAACAGATGCGCCCCAGCTCGATTCTATAGACTACCGAAGGTGCAAAAAGCCGGCCTCCCCCTCCCACCAATCATGTCAGTGCGCGGTGCACCAACATCTACTCTGGCAAAGTGGCTTTTCCACAGCATGCTTTCTCTCACCTCGGACGCAACTACGGCCATCTGTTCAACGGCTCAGCTTCTAGAGCGGCTCAAGGGCATGCGACTCAGCGAGGACGAGGTCAGCGTATCATGCGAGGTCACCTCTTCTTTCTTTTTGATCCCGCAATACATATCAATCGAACTGGCTAGCGAAATGCTCGAAAGCAAGTACGAGGAGACAGGCGAAAGTGTGAAACGGAGGCATTTCATTCAACTGCAACAATTCTGCCTGAAGGCGTTCTTTACCTTCGAAGGGAGAGTGTACGAACAGATCAAGGAGACGCCGATGGGATCACCGCTTTCAGGCTTCATCACAGAAGCAGTTCTCCAAAAGGTTGAAAGCGCAGTTTTCGAGACATACAGGTGAAAATTTTGGACTCGATGTGTCGATGATGGTTTGCCATCATTAAAAATTCCACAATGGAGGCGGAAAGCAACAAACAACTACCGTTCCTGTACGCACTGGTTCACTGGAAACCAAGTGAGCACCTAAAAACAACGATTGATAGGAAGGCCGCCAATACGCGTCAAATCCTGAGCTACCACAGCAAGCACCTGTTATTCCACAAATGCAGATGTGAACGAACGCTATACAGAAGGGCAGAAACACACTGCAGCGAGCCAGACGAAAAAGGTCGAAACTACGCCACCTCCGGCGCCTCTTCATGGCAAACGGGTATCCTCGCAACTTCAAAGAACGCAACAGGCAGCATCTAACAAACCGAAATCCAGTGACAGAACGGCCAAAGATCTGGCGAGCGCTTCCTTACATTGATGGCATCTCTGAGGCAGTCTTGCGTCTCCTGAGACCACTGGCCCACCGGCCCGAGTCAACAATTCGACGTCTCGTCATGAGACCTAAGATCCACCTGCCAGCCGGGATCTTTGGTCATGGAGTTTGACGCTCTACCATTGAGCCACGGGCCCGTTGTCCTGTCGGTTGTGATCGGGAATATCAATTATGACAGTGGCTCAATGGTAGAGCGTCAAACTCCATGACCAAAGATCGCATGTTCGAATCTCAAGTGATCCACACTTGGGGTTGGGTATGACTGGCTGATGACGGCTAATACGCCAGAAATGACCATTCCGGTCTCCCTTGTCTTTTTCGGCCCCATCTCATCTATATATAATTTAAGAGTACAACTCGATTTTCCGAAGAGCCTTCTCTTTTTCATTATATCACCTCGGAATGCACACTACATCATTTATTCAACATATTTTTGGGAGTCAAACGCTTATCCTTACCAGACGTTGGGAGAAATTTACATAGACGCAGGCGACGACTTACTAACAGTTAACTTCTCTCCACCGCTGTCGCGATCATGGTGTCCTACCGAAATCCCTCCGATTCAAGCCCACTCTACTCAATGAGACCGGAAGTCTATTTGCGCGCAAGTGTGGATTTCGTGTTTTTATTGTCATTATATCCGACGTCCACCAACGTCTTTGCCGTTTCGAAGCAGCATTTCTGGCCTTAGAAGCCGATGCGTCTCATGCTTACCTGATAACCTCATTTCAGAAATACTTCACCGAATGAACGCCACCACCAAAGACGCCAGAATGAAGAAACGGACCGATCTGCAAAAGAAACTACAGTCTCTTATTTGCACGGCCAGCGAGAACCGAATGTCTGCGAAAGTTGTTAACCTTTCGAAAAGGAATTTAACATCCACTGAAATAAGCCTCCTGTCTAGGGGAACAAGCTTCAGTGAAACCGATGCTACACTACGGACTTCCTACCCAACCTTGAATCCCTCCTACTGACCTCCGACGTCCCTGATGACATGTGTGCGAACATTCGCAGTCGCGCCACTGGTATCATTTGACAAAGGAAACATCATCGAACCCTACAGATCGAAGCGGAAAGGGCGGTGCGATCGTTGAGAACAGATGATAAAATAGTTATTATGTCTGCTGGCAAAGGAGGACCAACCGTTATCATGGATAAGGTTGATTACGTCAACAAGGCAGACCAAATCTTCGATGACAGGGAGGCCTATGCGCCACTCGCTGTAGACCCAACGAAAAAAACAGACCGCGGCTGTCAAGAAGACAGTGAATGAGATTGCCCGATTGAAGCGCATAAGTCCCCGATGACAGCAGATCTATGGCCGTCAATGACCTCCGTATCGCGCGTGCGTACGGTTTTCCGAAGGTGCACAAGACAGATGCGCCTCTGAGGATTACGGTGCCACTTATTGGATCCCCCTACTTACAACCCTGCCAACTGGTTATGCAAACACTTAAAGCACCTCACAAACGGATCGTAATGCAGCATCAAAAATTCTCAGGCTTTCCTACAAAAGACCCAGGGCCTTGAAGTAAGTCCTGACGAATGCATCCTATCGTTCGATGTTGTTACACTGTTTTCTTCAATACCGCATGACCTAGCAGTTGACAGCGTAGCCCAATGTCTAGAGCAAAGTCCCAGTGGCATTCCAGCACAACATGTTCTAGACATGCTTAAGATTTGCCTCAATAATTATTGTCAGTTCGATGGCAAGTACTATCAACAAGTAAAGGGCACCCCAATGGGCGCCCCAATATCGGGGCTGCTTGCAGAACTAGTCTTGCAGCGACTAGAACAGGATGTTGTGCACACCTTCGAACAAAAATGTGGCTCCGCTACGTGGACGACACGGTTGTCATCATAAGGACCAGCGAAGTTGAGCGATTGCACCAGAACTTAAATAGCATCTTCCGGGTATACAGTTTACTCGCGAAGAAGCAATAGGAGATACCCTCCCGTTCTTAGATGTGAGTATACAAAGACTTAGTGATGGCAAACTAGCAACAAGCGTTCACTGAGAAGACTCTAGTGCGGAAACGTATACATATACGAGAAGAAGAGGCGATCTCGGGAACTACAGTTCTATTGCCCTGACGTTTCAAAAGCAAACAAGCTTTCATCGTCCGAGGGGGTGTTGCACATGCAAGTCCTTAAGCAAGGAACTGGCTTTCCGGGAATGTTCGACCTTGTTAAGCATTACCATGGAGCGTCCTTTGTCTGCTCGTAGGACCACGATGCCCATGTTCGCCTTCAGCATTATGAGGTCATCCTGTTGCGCTTTAGGGATGACCATACGTGGTTTGTGCGTCATACCCTGGATGCTCCTATATTCTGCTCAAAGTCCGAAAACTCGAAAACAAGCTGGCTGCTTTACGGAAGCTCGTGCCAGAGAACGAGGATGGGCAAAATGCAATTAAAAACGCTTCAGTTATCAAGACAAAGGCAAAGAGCAAAACTCCAAAACAGCCAAAGAACAAAGTTTGTGGAAATCCTCAGTGCGAAGACTCGGATAGCCACGACGATGGAATAATAACAACGGAGTCTCTTGTTTCTATGGAAGACAAACGAAGCGAACCATCACCTTCTCCCAGTCATTTCGTGTGTTCAATAGGACACTCGGTTGAAAGTGAGGAAACAATCTCGTGGCAAGCTGGAACGGGTAAGCACTACAACAGGAGTATAAAGCCCAAGACGACTCTGGTGGATCGCCTGAGACCTTCAGCTGACAAGGCGACCGAAAACAGAACAAATGAACCACTTGACCGCCGGCATAGCGTAGTCGTCCAGTGCCAATCAGAGTCGAATGCTCGTACCCCGCTGACCTTGATACTTTTCAACACCTGCTGAACAAAATGCTCAATTCGAATGAAAAGGTGACCATTCGAGCAGCCTTCAGGATCGGAAAGAAGGTGAGCGAACGATCGAAACCGGGCGACCACGAACTCTAACAATTGTTTTGGGCAGTAAATGGGAGACTAGCTTACTTCTGTCTAGGAAAAGCAGTCTCCGAAACTCTCACAAGGAAGTTTTTTTCAGCCGGACTATTCTTCAGCAGAGTGATGGTAGCGGACTTCCAATCAGAAGGCAGGCATCCAGTAACAAATAACGTTTGGAAGATCAAGGCTAACGTCCTGGACATTTCGAGAGCTGGCTCCTTCATCGGCTTGGCCGGGAATGCATCAGGGCCAGGGGAGGTCGATTCTTTCATGTTTATTAACTCCTTTCGAACGATTGTTTCGGTGAAGAAGAAGGCTTCGAGGGTAGGCGTTTCTTCGTCTTCACAAGTGGGGGAGAAAAAATCAGATTTACTTGTCACGACGGACCGGAGGACCTGAGAGATTTCCAGCCTTATCCTTGTCGTCGGAAATTTCCATTCCCTCGGCCGTTCGCAGCAGTCGGATGGGATCTTTGTTCCTTGTGCTCTGTCTTATGTAGCTGTAAAGGATTTTGGGATTAACCATGGCACGGTTCAAAAGATCCTTTTAAAAGGCTTTCCGATCTCTGGCAATGAGAATTTTGACCCGAGTACTCTGCAACTTATAACTGCTTAGGGATTCTGGTGCCCGGTCAATCAGGGGTCTTTTCCATAACTTCCTCTTCTAGCTAACTTTCTTCTTTAAGGACGGAGTCAACCAGCGGGGTTTATTTGTTAGTCTTCTGCGCACGATTAGGCAGTGGCTGGAGATAAGGTTGTGGACTATCTCTTTGAACTGGCACGAAATCTCTTCGATATCACCGGAGAGAATGGATGCCCAGTCGAAAGGACTAAGATCCTTTTTCATCTTTTCGAAATCTCCGCGCCATATATTGGGTCGGGAATCGAGCGGTTGTGCAGGCAGGGAGAATAAGGTGTATTCCCACATGAGAACTACATGGTCACTCTGACCCAACGGGGGGAGGCAATTCACAACGTCGATGTTGTCAGACGACTTGGTGAAAACAAGATCGAGGCAGTTCATTTTTTGGCCCTCTCGAACTCTCGTTAGAAATATTCCGTGTTGGGTGAGAAACAGATTGTCGGAGGTACGCAGTAGCTGATGGTCGAATGCTGCTTCAGAGCAGTAGGTTCAGAATATAGTTCGTAATCCCATAAAAGTACTGTGTGATCACTTCGACCGAGTAGAGGTAGGCAGTACACCCCGCCTATACTGCCAGGATCTTTGTTGAAGACGAGGTCCAAACAACTAACCTGTTGTCCTCCACGCGCTCTAGTTGGAAACAGCACATGTTGCGTGAGAAGAGCTCCTGGGGTTGTCTTTAGTAGACGGTAATCGAAAGCATTCTTCGAGCAATTCGCATGCATATCGTTCCATTGAATGCAGAGTGCATTAACATCCCCCTGAGAACAGCGTCTAGTCAACTTGCGATCTCTTTATGCTTTCCAGCAGATAATTATCCGGGTCGGGACCCGCCTGCGGGGGCAGGTAGATAGTTACAGCTTTGAGGAACTGCGATCCCTCTGCCTTTATGTCAGCCAAATCGTCTCTGTGTCGTTGGAACGCTTGTCGGTCCCCTCACACACTGTTAAGTTGCTCTTTACATGCATGGCAACTCCTCCACACCGGGGGCCTCTCCTGTCTCTCCTAAACAATTGGTATCCAGTCAGTGCTACCTCGCAATCACCCACGTTCTCTGACAGCCACGTTTCTGTTATTGCTATAGCATCCGGAGGTGTTTCGGCTACTTGTATTCTCAGTTCGTCAAGCTTGGAAAACAGACTGAGAGCATTCGTGTGAAAGAATTTAAATTTGAAACATTCGACAGTGCTTCGTTCGACTTATCTCAGGTCTGCCAATATTATGTTGCTGTTGCCATCATGACGACTGGCTGGTTCCAGAGCAACATCGCATTCCTCTGTATCACTCGTCCTCTGAACATTGTCAAGTTTCTCTCTCTGGCTGCAAGTCTCCTCTTCAGCTCCGTCACTAGTTCGCGGCGTTCCAAAAGTTCTGCTGGAGAATATTCCGGCTGAAAAAAATTTCCTTGTGAGAGTTTCGGAGACTGCTTTTCCTAGACAGAAGTAAGCTAGTCTCCTATTTAATGCCCAAAACGATTTTAAGAGGTCTTGGTCGCACAGTTTCCGATTGTTCGCTCACCTTCTTTCCGATCCTGAAGGCTGCTCGAATGGTCACCTTTTCATTCGAATTAAACATTTTGTTCAGCAGGAGTTGAAACGTATCGAGGTCAGCGGGGTAGGAGCATTCGACTCCGATAGGCTCTGGACGACTACGCTATGCTGGCGGTCAAGTGGTTCATTTGTTCTGTTTCCGGTCGCCTTGTCAGCCGAAGGTCTCAGGCGATCCATCTGAGTCGTCTTGGGCTTTATACTCCTGTTGTTGCAAACACCAACGCCTCTAACCTTTGCAGAACCGCTTCAGTGATGAAACCGGATAACGTTTATCCCATTGGCATACCATCGATTTGCACGTACACGGTTCCTCCATAGAGGAATCGTAAAGATGGAGCAAAAATTTCCTGATTTTCGCTAGTTAGGCTAAGATGGCTTTTATATTGCTCGTAGGAAGCTCGGCGTTCCCATTGGATGGCACACGCAAGTTTGCCATTTTGGATTCTCCAACTCTATTGGTCCAGGACATTTTTAACTGTCGATCTCATCGGATCTCGCCGAATTAAGTCAAAAGTTTTCGACTAACCATTGGTTATTTTGGTTTGCCTATCAGCAATCTAGTAGAGACCAGTCTAGGCCAGAATTTCAATAAAAACGGTCCCGAAGATTCTATTGGCTACGATTTACTTTCTAGTACTCTTGCAATTGATTTGCACATACCCATTGGTCTATCTTTATGTGAACCTATCCAAGTCGTCTGCAGGCCCTATAAAAACCGAGGAGGATTGACGTTGACCACCTTTGGACCGGAGGACTCCTTCTAGGCGCCATCGCCGCTCCTGCATCGTGTCCGCCGCCCGGATCAAACGAGGCTTGCATCCAAACAAGCCTGTCCTCGCCATAGGACATCCCGCTGTTCCCGAACTCTCAATATCGTCTTCTGTCGTTTACAAATAATCCCCCCCCCTAGGAGCCCGTCTTTCTTTCTTACTGGGGACCAGAAGGGGCATAGCATAGCCTTATTAGCTCTCATCTCGGCTAGGGTCGTTACAAATTGGTGACAGTCAGTGGGATCGCGCCATGTCAGACGGGATTTTGGACCGACTCGTCAAGGCGATAGAGAAGTTGTCTTCAAATGGGGACCAACTTCCAAAGCCAGAAAAACTGAAGATGTATGACGATTATGATCTCTGGGAGGATCGAATGAAGTTGTACCTCGAGTCCATCAGCGAAGGGAACCGGTCACTGGCCATCCTTGGCCAACTGGACAGTGAGGTCTACGCCGTTGCCAGAGCGGCCAACATCACTCCTTCGCTGACTACCGCGACAATCTTCGAGCGTCTTCGGCGAGAATTCGGTCGCTCTTCCATGCCATGGGTTGCTCGCGCAACACTGAGGGAACGTCGCCAGCATTCTGGAGAGTCAGTGGTCGACTTCCAGCGACACTTACGTGTCTTGGCCAAGCACGCATACCCAGACGGCTCTTGCGCTGCCCTGGAAGACAGGATTCTCGATAACTTCGTCGATGGTGTTGCCAACCCAGACATTCGACGCAAGATCATGCTGGATCCACCCAAAACCCTCAAAGCGGCACTCGACATCGCCCGCGATTAAGAAGTGGTCTCCGCCGCGCTATCCTCATCCCCCGGATCTTCTTTCTCAGTGGCCGCGGCCCCCCGCTTCCAAACTGCTTCAGCGCAAGGCCAGATGGTCAATGTCTTCGCCATGGGACAGCGACCGACCTGCGACATTGGGACGCAAACAGCGAGATGGCAGTGGGACCCCCAACCACCGTCCACCCCTCGATATGACCACCAGCGATCTACTCCTCGGCGTGGAAACTGGAGGGTCCAACGCGGTCGTTGGACTCGCACTCAATACATGCCCGGTGTTCATTCGATCAGCGCGGGTGAGGAAGAAGAGAACGGTAAGTTAGTAGTTTTATCCGACTTACTGATTCCAAATATAGGTTCTATGCCTTATTGCCCTACCGTAAATGCATCTATAAGTAATATTAAATTTCCATGCTTAGTTGATTCAGGGGCAGGTTGGTCCCTCATCAGGGATCCCGTATTTCGCCAGCTACAGACGACAGTTAGATATTGCAGTAAACCCAAAGTTTCCCTGAAAACGGCTAACGACACCACCTTACAGCATGTAGGCATGGTAGAACTTGCAATAGAGCTAGGTCGCGTTGTATTTAATCATAGGTTTGTTGCTTGTTGTGACATAGCAAAGGCATTGTATATTAGGCGCAGATTTTCTTCATGCATTTAAATGTTCTCTCGACTTTAACGCTAACGCCCTCCGTGCCAGCGGTACTGAAGTGCCACTTACGTTCGAGATGCCTGTCCGTCGACAAGTAGTTAACACAGCCAAGCTAGAATTTATAGAAAGCTTAATCCCACCGCTGCCACCAATTTGTGACGGGCCTAACCGAGACCAGAACCAATAACGCTACGCTAAGTCTCTTCTGATCGCCAGTAAGAAGGAAAGACGGGCTCCTAAGGGGATTTTGGGGATTATTTATGAACGACAAAAGACGAGAATGTGAGTTCGGGGCACTGGGATGCCCTACGGCGGGGACAGGCCTGTTTGGATGCAAGCTGTAACGGGCGGCCGAAGGCGCGCTCCTGTGACCACTGCACCCTGACCGGCTGTCGTAGTCGCTGCAAAATCTGGATGACCGTGGGCCCGACCCTCATAATCGAATGGGCTGAGCAGCTGCCGTTGCATGTGCGAATCACGATCGGCTGTTTGGGCGCGCCGATGGGTCGACGTCTGGTGTTGCTCGTGTGACCTCCGCAGGTTGCGTGACAGCCAACTGCTTAAGAAGTTCGAAAGAAAAAGTCCAGCAATGCGGCCCTTTACTGATTGTGTCCTGGTTCACAACCTCTCCTCTCGTCATCTCACGCAGCAACAGCTGGCGGTTTTATCCTATGGCGCTAAGTCCAACATGAGCGATGCTCGACCAGAAGACTTCATCGCATCCTTCGAATCAGCGCTCCAGAAGTGTGAAGCAAACGAAGAGTGCAAAAATTCCATGAGGCAAAAAGTGTCAACCCTTCTCCTCCGGCACAAACCTTAGAGGGTGATTTACGAAAAAGAAGACCAAGAGCTTCTGAGGATTCGGAAGATGAGTGATATCGTCAGCCTGCCCGCCGACAAGGAACGTTCGACTGTTGTCATGGATAAGACAGATTACACGATGAAACTGCAAAGTCTATTGGAGGACGAAGGTGCCTATGAGCTTTTGGAGACTGGAGAGTTCAAGAAGCACCTGAACAGCGTAAACAGGGCGATAGACAAGTTGTGGAAGGCAGGAGTCCTCAAAAGAAAGGAGGCATTGGCGGCAAAAGCCACAGATGAGCCACGGCGCGTTTCTACGGCCTGCCAAAAGTGCATAAAGCAGGAGTCCCCCTACAAAACCATAGTCTCCTTACGCGGCACCCCGACCCTTGGCCTCTCGAAATGGCTTTATCTACGGTTTCGTTTCCTCACCGAGGACTCGGAATGGACTGTGAAGTCGGCTGAACGACTGGTCTTCCGTTCGTACTCCCCAAAATTATGGGCCAGATATGTCGACGACACATCTGTCGTAATCAAGAGGAACGGCGTTCAGGACTTCAAGGTTTTACTGAACTCAATATTCCCCGACATCCAATTCACAATGGAAGAGGAGAACAACAACCAATTGTCCGTTGTCGATGTAAATGTTGCAAGGACGGCCAGTGGGAGGATAAGAACGGCCGTCCCGGTTTATATGGACACGGCCCCTGCGTATGTCGCCATAGCTGAGGCAAATGACAACGGCGGCGATATAGCCGGCTTACCGAAGGCAAAAAAGCTAAAATGCTTGTATTCCAAATGCGCAAAGTCTGCTATCTAAATTTCCCGGGTTCGAACTTCAATTGATCCACACTTGGGGCTGGGTATGACTGGCTAATGACGGCTAATAAACCAGAAATGGCCACTCAGGTCTCCCTTGTCTTTGTCGGTACCACCTGAGTTACATCTACTAGTAGTCGCTGTGAGACTGCCTGCTAGGGTTCTAGTATGAGTCACAAGGCACAACGGATCGAGCATCTTCCGTAACCTGATTTGTGAGCGCCCACTGTCATAATATAGGCAAAAAAACCACAAGCACACCTACTGAACAAACATCGATACGTAAGGTAGCTGTGGAGTAAGCCTGTGGCCGCCTATTTGGCCCCTGCCGAATTTAAAACATAAAAGAAATATTATAGGTAGTGTTGTGTTGTTTAGAAATGTCGATTTATTTTGAAAAGCGCAATATCCCGAAATCGTCAGACTAAAGACTTCTCTAATATCGACGAAGTGTATTCCAATGCATCTCTCGGGAAAAGTGACCATATTACGCTACTATGGGATTAGTCGCTCTTCTCTCAACGCCCGAAGAGATCAAAAGGCCAACCTAATATATGAAAGGCAGGTTTCAACACTATGTCCGTGAATTGGGACCGTTTTCTCGGGGTATATCCGGAGGACGACTGGAGATCTTTTAGGACGATTTCACTCGATCTAACTCAGCGCTGTTGTCCACCTGAACTACAAAAGCAACTAGTCGATCTGCTTGGTTAACTAGGCACCTAAATTGGCGGATGAAAAGATGGAAAATATTCCGGGAAACTGCGTCACCTGCGCATTTCGAAGAATTTCGTCATCAAAGAAACGCAGTCAAAAATGTATCCATCAGGCACGGAAGGAATATGAATCCAAAATTATCCGACAGGCTGAACAGAAACTCCAGATTTTATTTCACTATCTTAACAGTAGACTGAAAAACAAGGACCCGGTCGCAGTACTGAGGGATGATAATGGTGTACAAATAATTGAGAACAGGGGGAAAGCCGAACACTTAGGTCGGTATTTTGCCTCAGTTTTTACTAGGGAAACAGAGTTTCGTAGTCACAGTGCCAGCAATGCCGTTGAGACCGCTGGTCCCGTGCTGGACTCCATACTGATTCTGACAGCTATCGTGGAAATGGGGCTGGAAGATCTCAAAGATGCAAAGTCCTCGGGTCCGGACAATATACCGGCCAAATTCTTGAAAGAATTGGCGAACGAACTCCCCAAACTACTGGTACACATCTTCTGCTCGTCATTCGAATTAGGGAGGCTGCCATCGGAATGGAAGATAGCAAATATCTTTCTGATATACAAGGTCGGGGCTCGCACTAATCCTAACAATTACCGGCCTCTTAGTCTCACCTGCATCTCCTGTAAAATCATGGAGGCCATAGTTAAGAAAGCGACAATGAACTTCCTGGAGCAGAACCACCTACTCTCAGACCTGCAGCACGGCTTCAGACAGAAGCGTTCGTGCCTTTCCAGCCTATTGCCCTCGACGGAGCAGTGGACTCGCGCACTGGACGAGGATGGTAGGGTCGATGGCATCTACACGGACTTCAAGAAGGCATTCGACAGCGTCCCACGCAAACGCCTAATCTACAAACTTTCTGAAATCGGGATAAGAAGAAGGCTGCTGACATGGATAACAGATTTTCTTACAGGCAGATCACAAACTGTGTGCGTTGAGGCCTCGAGGTCAACTCCTACCCCCGTTCTAAGTGGTGTACTCCAGGGCTCCGTCTTAGGGCCGTTGCTATTCCTGGTTTACATTAACGACTGCGTCGACGACCTGGGATGCAGCGCCATCATGTTTGCTGACGATGTTAAGCTGTGGAGAGCCATCACATCTGACGCAGACAGGTACGCGCTTCAAGACAGTCTCAACCGCCTGAACAGTTGGTCAGCTCGTTGACTCCCTAATTTTAATGTGGACAAATGTGTGGTCCAGAGACTCCGCACCGAAAAGACCACTAAGGAGGACGATTCCTTTCAATACGTCCTGGGTGGGCAGCCCCTTTCAAATGTCGTGGAACAGAAGGACCTCGGCGGCAAGGGTGTTATTTGCGCTGAGGCGAGGATTTGTGAAGATCGATAAAGAGCTGTTCTGAAAAACCTATGGGGCATTCGTCCGGTCTCATTTAGAGTATGCAGTCCAGGCCTGGCGACCGTGGTTGAAGGAAGACTATCAACGACTGGAAAGAGTACAGGCGGTGGCTACGAAGATGGTCAAGAATCTTAATAATCTGCCTTACGAAACCAGGTTGACCGAACTAAATTTGTTTCCTCTCAATTACAGGCCACTGCGCGGCAGGATTGTCAGAGGCCGTGAGTTCGCCCTAGACTTTGATGATTTCTTCGAATCGGCCGGAACCGACCGTCCACGAGGTCATCCCTTCAAACTGCAGAAGGAGCTGGCTCATTCGGACGTCCGACGGAACGCCTTCTCTCACAGGTTCATTGGAGCATGGAATGGACTGCCTGATGGGGTGGTTCTTTCCGAAACTATCGAATCCTTTAAGTGTAGACTAGATGCTCATCTGTTAAGAAACCACTGTATATATACTCAAACTGGTACTAGCGGTGGCTGTTTGCGCCTGGCTCACACTTACTGTTACCTTTTGAATTTCCGCATTTGCTGATGTAATTATTGATTCCATTTCCTTTTATCGACATGAATAGGGAGCTCAAGGGCGAAAGCCTTATTCCCCTAATAAAATGACTTAAATTGCTCAAGAGGCGGTATGACGAGATGAACGAGTCAGTGGAGCGGAGACATCTAGTCCAACTCTTAAATTTCTGTCTGAAGACGTACTTCACCTTCGAGGGGACCATGTACGAACAAATCAGAGGGACGCCGACGGGATCGCCTCTTTCCGGCTTCATCGCTGAGGCAGTTTACACAACTCATAGGCCAGAGTTTTGGACTCTGTACGTCGACGACACCTTCGACATCATCAAGCGAGAAATGATCGAGGAATTTTGCAATGTCCTGAATTCTGTTTTCCCGGACATTCAATTCACGATTGAGGCGGAAAGCAACAACCAGCTGCCGTTTTTGCACGTTCTTTTCCATCGAAAACCTAACGGGCACATTAAAACGACGATGCATGGGAAGGCTACCTACACACGCCAAATTACAGTAAACACCCGTAATGCCACAAACGCAGCTGTGTGCGAACTCTCTACAGTACAGTAGAAACACTCTGCGGCGAACCGGATGACAGAAGGACAGAGCTCCGCTACCCTCAGCGCCTTTTTATGGCCAACGGATACCCCCGTAACTACATCAAACGCAGCAGGCAGCCTAAACCAGGTCAAAATCGGATGACAAAACGGCTCAGTAATCAATGCTGCTGCCTCAACCACTACGCCGGCAAACGGCTCTGCCCCGGCGACTACAGAGAAGATCCCTGTGTGTATGCGGGCGATTAGCGCCAAAATCGATTAACGACTCCCACCGCATAATTAACACCATGTTAACACGACTTTTATCCATCCCCCCTCTAACTACTGCGACGCCGTACGATACTCACCTCCGAAGATGAAAGCTTCAGTTTCAGTTTATTTGAGGGAAATATAGGTGTTAAACCTTTGAACTCCCTATTTGTTACAAGGAGGCGAACAATAAAAAAAAACAATTTGAAAATGGAAACATCGAACGGCTACAGAGTTTCTTCAGATTGGCAACGTTTTGTAAACCAGACAGATAAACGACTTGTTCCAAGAGTTAAAAACATTAACGTTACTAAATGTGCTGTACAGTAGTCTGTCTAGGGATAGTTGGTGCTATCTCAGTTTCGGAGGGAGACGAATTGAATGCCAACACACATTCAACAGACATGGAACAATATTAAAAAAAACGTTACTGAAATACAGAAAGTAACATAACAACATTACTAAACTGTTCGAACGAAATGCTAGACAATCTGTCAGGTGGCATTATGACGATTGGTGGCAATCTGGTCCAAGTTACGCTTAAAAGCCTCGACGAAGGTGGACATGACGACACCTGCAGGCAGAGCATTCCAGGCCTCGATCACTCTGTTTGAAAAGAAGAACTTCCGAGTGTCCAGCTTGGCGCCAGTTACGCGTAGTTTAAGTGGATGACCTCGGAGGTTCGTTGTGGTCGCTAACTCAAAGAAATCAGTAGGTACGAGACAGCAGTCCTGGCCGCGCAGTATACGGAATGTTTGTATAAGGTCGCCTCTTAGCTGTCTGTAACTCAGTGGAAATAGGCCGAGATTGGACAATCGGGTTTCATAGGGTAGTGAACCCTGTCCACTTACGAGTTTGGTTGCCCACCTCTGAACTTTCTCAAGGATGCTGAGATCTTTAGAGGTCCATGGTTTCCACGCCTGAATAGCGAACTCTAGCTGTGGCCGTACGAAAGTCCGAAAGACTTTAACGAAGCAGTCTTCATCGAAGGTAGAGAAAGCTCTCTTAGCAAGATAAAGGACTGACATCGCAGACTTGGCTACCTTGGAGCAGTGAAGCGGCGGTTTTAGAGAAGCCGTTACCCACACCCCCAAGTCTTTCTGGGCGTCTACCTCCTGCAATGGTACGCCGTTTAGGTGGTAAGCCCTCCGGCTCAGAGATCGCGTCCTGCCGACTCGCAGGACATTACACTTAGTCACATTAAACGGCAACAGCCAGTCCTGTGACCATTTCTCGAGTCGGGTCAGGTCTGCCTGCAAGCGCTCTTCGTCAACTTCAGTTCGGATGACGCTCCAAAGTTTAACATCATCAGCGAACATGGCGACATCACAATTCAGTTCACTGATGCAGTCGTTGACGTATATAATGAATAGGGTAGGGCCAAGAACGGAGCCTTGTGGAACACCGCTTTCAACCGCTACCTCCGCCGACTGCCTGTCACCGACGTGGACGATTTGAGAGCGACCGATCAAGAAACTTTGTATCCACCTCAGGAGATTACCCCTCAGGCCTGTTCGGTTTAATTTGTACAGGAGACGCTGATGGGGTACACTGTCGAATGCTTTCTTAAAGTCGACGTAGACTGCGTGCACTGCATTGCTGCCATCGACTGCCCGGGTCCAGCGATCTAAACAATATAGTAGATTCGTCGCGCATGATCTGCCTCTTCGAAATCCGTGCTGGGCATCGCATAGCAGATTATACTCTTCTAGGAAGTGCATTATTTCTCGCTTTATTATTTTCTCCATAATTTTGCAGCAAATTGAATTAAGGCTGATTGGTCTGTAGTTGTTTGATAAGACCTTGCTGCCGCCTTTATAAATTGGCGTGATCCGCGCTGATTTCCAATCGGAGGGCAAATAGCCTGCTTCGAACGAAGCTTGGAAGAGCATGGACAGCGGTTTGGATAGTTCTCCAGCAAGTTCCTTCAACAATTTGGGCGGTATGTCATCCGGTCCAGGTGATTTAGACTCATTCAACTTCAACAGTTCTTTGCGAACAATAGCTTCGGCGAAAGAGACGTGCTCAATCGTTGGCCCGTCCACTATGTCGCAGTCGGGAGGGAGAAATGCGCCTTCCTTCGTAAAGATGGACTTAAAGAACTGTGAAAGGTGCTCTGCCTTTTCTCCGTCTTCACTGAGTTCTAGGTCGTCACTAGTTTTCAATAACGGGATTGAGTCTCTGTTTCGTGTGCTTCTTCTTATGTAACCATAGAACAACTTCGGATTTTCTGCGGCTCGATTTAGTAGGTCTTTCTCAAAAGTACGCCGCGTCCCGAGGATTAACCTCCTAACTAGGTTCCTCTGTGCTTTGTATGCATTTAACGACACATAGCTCCTATCCGAGAGGAATTTCCTCCATAACCTCCGCTTTTTATTCACTTCTTTTTTTAAAGCTTGTGTTAGCCACGGGGGTCTGCAGTTTGGTTTCTTCCGTGAAATAGGGCAGTGGTCTCTGAGAATAACGTGCAGTAACTCACTACACGGGGAGCCGTAACAGTTCTCTCCCCCACACAATGTCCTGAATTCTGTCTCCCCTGACACCCAGTTCACAACGAAAGCGGAAAGCGGAAAGGAAATTTTCGATATTTGCTTCCCTTTTGATACTGTTATGGTACGACCGGATAGAATTTCTTCCCCCTATCTGAAATCGTTAAGACGTAAAAAAGAACTCCTTTACAAGCTAGGCTTACGTGATAACCTTAAGGACGTTACCGTCTTAATAAAAACAGAGATTGACAGGCTAAATAGCCTGTTTGTCAGCAAACTTTTTTCCTCTTCCTAATCCCCCCCTTTTCCCCCCTTCCTCATCTGAGATTTGGAAAAATCTTAAGCATCTCACTGGCCATCGCAACACACTGGTGCATGTGGATGCAGATTTAAACTCCCTAAATAAAAATTTTATATTTAGTCACAATGACTCCCATCTTCCCTTAGATGACATTCCCCTATCACCGAGTACAGTCCAACCCGTGTCTGTGGCAACAGTAGAGAAACACCTTAAAAAGGTCCGTGGATCAACAGCTGCCGGACCGGATGGTGTCTCGCCTTTTCTTCTTAAATCTTGCAGTTCTCAGATAGCCCCTATGTTAACGCACCTAATCAATATGTCTTTCATGGGGTCCAAGATTCCCGACGCCTGGCGTACAGTGAGAATCACTCCCATCCCTAAAAAGCCTGCTAAATCTTTTCGCCCAATTGCCTGCTCCTCTGCAATACTAAAGCTTGCTGAAACAGTTGCCCTAGACATCATAAAGCCTTTTTCTTCCAGTTTTTCCGACCCTTTACAATTTGCATATAAAGCCAAACGGAGTACTTAAGATGCTGTCGCTCTTGTGGTTCACTCTGCTCTAAAAGCATTAGACAAGGGTTTCCGCGAGTATGTGTGCGCTTTTCTTGATTACTCCTCCGCCTTCAATACCGTCCCGCGCCCTCTTCTCCTTTCCAAAACCTCCGCATGTGGCTCTTCAGGCTGGGTCGTCTCTTGGCTGAGCGATTATTTTACCTTCCGCACCCAATTTGTCCAATCTGGCAAGCGGAAATCTTCGACCCTTCCCAACGACTGCGGTGTTCTTCAAGGTTCCATTCTATCCCCTCACCTTTTCTCCCTCCACACTGATGATCTCAGGTCCCCTAATGACTGTCTTCTGGTCAAGTATGCTGACGATGTGGTTGTTGGACACCCTCTCAAAAGTCAGACACACGTCTAGTCTCCAAAGGATGGCCTAAACCATGTCCTAGCGTGGTCGGAGGAAAATGGTCTCCTAATTAACAACCAAAAATCCGTTCAGTGTATTTTTCGACTGCGGCCCTCTCCTAACCCTGATTCCTCTGACATTCTTCCTAACGAAGTATCCTCTTTCAGGTATCTCGGCGTTACTTTGTCCTCAAATCTTTCTTTTTCCCTCCATATTGAGTCCCTATTTATTAAAGTTCGTAAACTTGTTTACTACATTCGTCGTTTGCGTTCCTACCACACACCTCAACCCTTAGTCTGGCGATTCATTGATGCCTGCATTCGTCCTCTTATCCTATACTGTTCTCTTGTCGTTTTTCCTGCTTTGTTAAAAAAAGGATCTTTTAATTTTGAAACGCATCCTCCGCATGCTCTCTTCTGCTGCTGGTGTTTCTTATCTTTTTTTAGTTGACACTATCTTACAACGACACTTCAATGCAGTCAAGCAATTTGCTGGTCGAATTCTAGATGACGTTGCCCATCCCTTACATTCTGATCTTATGTATGCGAAATCTTCCCGCCCGATGCGCCGCAGCTTCCGACTTATATCCTGTCGCACGTCGACTTATTGAGCTTCTGTATTGCCATTCCTAGCGCGCTATCTTACGTGCGAAGAGACAGAAATACAGAAGCTAAGACTTGAACTATCCCCATAATAGTCGTTTCTTTGTGTTAAACTTTGACTCTTGAATAATCTATTAACTTATTTACTGCTCTCTCTCTCTCTCTCATCAACTACCGTTCCTGGACGTACTGGTTAAACGGAAACCAAGTGTACACCTAAAAACAACGCTGCATAGGAAGGTCCCCGAAACGGGCCAAATCCTAAGCTACCACAGCAAACACCCGTCCTCTCACAAACGAAACTGTGTGCGAACACTATACAAAAGGGCAGAAACACACTGCAGCGAGCCAGACGACAAAAGGTTAGAATTACGCAATCTTCAGCGCCTATTCATGGCGAACGGTATCCCCGCAACTTCATAGAACGCAGCAGGCAACCTGGTCCAAGCTGAAGTTCGGTGACAGAACGGCCAAAAATCTGGCGGATGTTCCTTACATTGACGGCGTCTCTGAGGCGGTCTCACATCTCCTAAGACCACTGGGGATTGACACTGCCTATCGGACAGAGTCAACAGTTCGAAATCTGGTCATGAGACCTAAAACTTCCCTGCCACCCAGAGAAACAACAAACGTCACTTATCGGATCTAATGCAGTTCCTGTGAAATGAATTATATTGGGGAGACCGGCAAACCACAGCAGAACCGTGTTGGAGAAGACGTGAGGGCGGTAAGGAGGATGGACCCGTTGTGTCTAGTGGCAGAACACTGCGCAAACTCTGGACACACGTTCGCCTTTCAGAATGCTGGAATCCTGGATCGGGGAAATGGCCGCATCACCAGGGAAACAATCGAGGCCTGGCACACTGGCTCGAACTCCATCAAACGTTGCGTAGAACTTCCCGAAGCCTACCAGGCCCTCCAGGCGCAGCGCAGTGAACAGAGGAGCAGAGACAGGCCACGACAATACAGAAATCCCAATACGGCCGAGTACATGGGGGACACACGCGCAGCTGTACTCCAACCCGAATCTGATGAAGGTGCGATTGTCACTACGTTTCTAATGAAGGTTCAATTTAACACATGAAATGGCTGAGAGAAGTTGATGGTTCGCTTCGGTTGTCTTACGTAGAAACAAAAGACTCCGTTATTATTATCCCATCCCCATGGGTAGCCACGTCTTCGCACTGAGGAGTCCCTCAAACTTTGTTCCTTGGCTGCTTTGGAGCTTTGCTCTTTGCCTTTGTCTTGCTAACTCTAACGTTGTTAGCCGCATTTTGCCCATTATCGTTCTCTTGCACGAGCTTCCGTAAAGCAGTCAGCTCGTTTTCGGGTTTTTGGACTATCGGCTAAAAGTCCGAAAACTCGAAAAAAGGCCGGCTGCTTTACGGAAGCTCGTGCCAGAGAACGATGATAGGCAAAATGCAATTAACAACGCTTGAGTTATCAAGACAAAGGCAAAGAGCAAAACTCCAAAACAGCCAAAGAACAAAGTTTGTGGAAATCCTCAGTGCGAAGACTCGGATAGCCACGACGATAGGATAATAACAACGGAGTCTCTTGTTTCTATGGAAGACAGACGAAGCGAACCACTAACTTCAAACACCAACCCCTCTAACCTTTGAAGAACCGCTTCAGTGATGAAACCGGATAACGTTTATCCCATTGGCATACCATCGATTTGCACGTACACGGTTCCTCCATAGAGGAATTGTAAAGATGGAGCAAAAATTTCCTGATTTTCGTTAGTTAGGCTAAGATGGCTAATAGATTGCTCGTACAAAGCTCGGCGTTCCCATTGGATGGCACACGCAAGTTTGCCATTTTAGATTCTCCAACTCTATTGGTCCAGGACACTTTTAACTGCCGATCTCATCGGATCTCGCCTAATTAAGTCAAAAGTTTTCGACTAACCATAGGGTATTTCGGTTTGCCTATCAGCGATCTAGTAGAGACCAGTCTAGGCCAGAATGTCAATAAAAACGGTCCCGAAGATTCTTTTGGCTACGATTCACTTTCTAGTACTCTTGCAATTGATTTAGGCATACCCATTGGTCTATCTTTATGTGAACCTATTCAAATCGGCTGCAGGCCCTATAAAAACCGAGGAGGATTGACGTTGACCACCCTCGAACCGGAGGACTCCTTCTGGACGCCACCGCCGCCCGGATCAAACGAGGCTTGCATCCAAACAAGCCTGTCCTCGCCATAGGACATCCCGCTGTTCCCGAACTCTCAATATCGTCTTCTGTCGTTTACAAATAATTCCCCCCCCCCCTAGGAGCCCGTCTTTCTTTCTTACTGGGGACCAGAAGGGGCATAGCATAGCCTTATTAGCTCTCATCTCGGCTAGGGTCGTTACAAATTGGTGACATTCAGTGGGATCGCGCCATGCCAGACGGGATTTTGGACCGACTCGTCAAGGCGATAGAGAAGTTGTCTTCAAATGGGGACCAACTTCCAAAGCCGGAAAAACTGACGATGTATGACGATTATGATCTCTGGGAGGATTGAATGAAGTTGTACCTCGAGTCCGTCAGCGAAGGAAACCGGTCACTGGCCATCCTTGGCCAACTGGACAGTGAGGTCTACGCCGTTGCCAGAGCGGCCAACATCACTCCTTCGCTGACTACCGCGACAATCTTCGAGCGTCTTCGGCGAGAGTTCGGTCGCTCTTCCATGCCATGGGTTGCTCGCGCAACACTGAGGGAATGTCGCCAGCATTCTGGAGCGTCCGTGGTCGACTTCAAGCGACTCTTACGTGTCCTGGCCAAGCACGCATACCCAGACGGCTCTTGTGCTGCCCTGGAAGACAGGATTCTCGATAACTTCGTCGATGGTGTTGCCAACCCAGACATTCGACGCAAGTTCATGCTGGATCCACCTAAAACCCTCAAAGCGGCACTCGACATCACCCGCGATGAAGAAGTGGTCTCCGCCGCGCTGTCCTCATCCCCCGGACCTTCCTTCTCAGTGGCCGCGGCTCCCCCCGCTTCCAAACTGCCTCTGCGCAAGGCCAGATGGCCAATGTCTTCGCCATGGGACAGCGACCGACCTGCGACATTGGGACGCAAACAGCGAGATGGCAGTGGGATCCCCAACAATCGTCCACTCCTTGATATGACCAGCAGCGATCTACTCCTCGGCGTGGAAACTGGAGGGATCAACGCGGGCGTTGGACTCGCCCTCAATACACGCCCGGTGTTCATTCGATCACCGCAGGTGAGGAAGAAGAGAGCGGTAAGTTAGTGGTTTTACCGGACTTATTGATTACAAAAATAGGTTTTGTGCTTATTGACCTACCGTAAACGCATCTATAAGTAAAACTACAGACGAGAGTTAGATATTGCAGTAAACCCAAAGTTTGCCTGAAAAAGGCTAACGGCACCACCTTACAGCATGTAGGCATGGTAGAACTTGGAATAGAGCTAGGTCGCGTTGTATTTAATCGTGGGTTTGTTGTTTGTTGTGACATGGCAAAGGGATTGTATATTAGGCGCAGATTTTCTTCATGCATTTAAATGTTCTCTCGACTTTAACGCTAACGTCCTCCGTGCCAGCGGTACTGAAGTGCCACTTACGTTCGAGATGCCTCTCCGTCAAAAAGAAGTTGACACAGTCAAGCTAGAATTTATAGAAAGCTTAATCCCACAGCTGCCACTAATTTGTAACGGGCCTAACCGAGACGAGAACCAGAAACGCTACGCTAAGTCCCTTCTGATCCCCAGTAAGAAGGAAAGACGGGCTCCTAAGGGGATTTTGGGGATTATTTATGAACGACAAAAGACGAGAATGAGAGTTGGGGACACTGGGATGCCCTATGGCGGGAACAGGCCTGTTTGGATGCAAGCTGTAACGGGCGGTCGAAGTCGCGCTCCTGTGACCTCTGCCCCCTGACGGGCTGTCGTAGTCGCTGCAAAATCTGTGTGTCCGTGGGCCCTACCATCATAATCGAATGGGCTGATCGGCTGCCGTTGCATGTGTGAATCACGCTCAACTGTTTGGGCGCGCCCGTGAGTCGATGTCTGGTATTGCTCGTGTGACATCCCCAGGTTGCGTGACAGCCAACTGCTTAAGAAGTTCGAAAGAGAAAGTCCAGCAATGCGGCCCTTTACTGATAGTGTCCTGGTTCACAACCTCTCCTCTCGTCATCTTGAGCAGCAACAGCTGGCGGTTTTATCCTATGGCACTAAGTGCAACATGAGAGATGCTCGACCAGAAGACTTCATCGCATCTTTCGAATCAGCCTCCAGATGTGTCAAGCCAACCAGAAGTGCAAAAATGCATTGCGGCAACAAGTGTCAACCCTGGTTCAGTGAATTACTGCATGTTCTCCTGACAAACCACTGCCCGCTTTCACGGAAGGGGTTAAGCAATCGACCCCTGTGGCTGACTCAGACGTTAAAAAGGGAAGTAAATAAAAAGCGGAGATAGTGGCATAAATCTCTCACTGATGGGAATCCTGTATCCGTAAATGCATACAAAGCACAGAGGAACTTAGTCAAACGACTTACCCTCAGGACACGGCAAAATTTTGAAAAAGACCTACTGAATCGTGCTCTGGAAAATCCGAAATTATTCTACAGCTACATAAGAAGCAGCAAACGAAACAGAGATCCAATTCCCCTCCTGAAGACAAACGGAGACGTAGAGATTAATGAGGATGGAGAAAAAGCTGAGCATATTTCAGAATTTTTTTTAAATCCATCTTTACGAGTAAAGGCGCATTTACTCCTCCCGACTACGAATTCGATGAGAGTCCAAAAATTGGGGCTGTATCTTTTGACAAAGCGACTGTTCGCAGAGAGCTAGTCACGCTAAATGAGTCGAAATCACCAGGTACAGACGACATACCGCCTAAGTTACTGAAGGAGCTCACTGCTGAACTAGCCAAACCATTGTCCATGCTTTTTCAAGCATCGTTCGAAGCCGGCTGTTTACCCGCCGAGTGGAAATCTGCGCGGATCACACCATTGTATAAAGGAGGCAGCAAGGCCTCTGCCAACAATTACAGACCAATTAGCCTCACCTCCACCTGGTGCAAAATCTTGGAAGAAATAATCAAGCGAAAGTTAATGCGCTTCCTAGAGCAGCATAATTTATTATCTAATGAGCAACATGGGTTTCGTAGTGACAGGTCTTGCGGTATTGGCCTATGACACCGAGTGCTGGCGTCTGTCTGCGTTCGGACCTAGAAGGCGGTCTCCTGGGTTTGCGTTCGCCGCCGGTTGTCCCCTGTTTTCGTCTGTTTCCGATGCCTGTTTATGCCCGTCCGTTTTCCCGTTTCGTCTGGGTTTGACTACTGCTGTATCTGGCTTGACGCCTCGTCGGTGACCCTGCTTATTGAACTTCACCCGTAGGGCTTGGTAGGCAGCCTGCAACGCGCCAAATCCTGTCCTACCACAGCAATCACCCGCTGTGTCACAAACGAAGCTGTGTTCGATCTCTCTACAAGAGAGTTGACACTCACTGCAGCGAACCGGCCGACAAAGTAGCCGAACTCCACTATCTACGGCGGTCGTTCACCTCCAATTAGACGTCTGGTCATGAGACCAAAAGCGTATCTGCCACGAGGCGAAACTTCCAACGTCATCTACCGGATCCCGTGTAGTTCCTGTGAAGCAAACTGCGTTGGAGAGACCGGGAAAAGTTTGCAGACCCACATGAGCGATCACACAAGAGCGGCACAACGAATGAATCAGCTCTCGCTGGTGGCGGAACATGGCGTAGCTTTTGGCCATGACTTCGCCTTCCAAGACGCCGAAGTCTTGGGACAAGGGGACGATTAAACGGTCAGGGAGACGCTCGAAGCATGGCACAACCACGACTACCTCAATCAACCGCTGCGTAACTTTGCCGGTTTCCTACCAAGCCCCAAGGGTGAAGTTCAATAAGCAGAGCTACCGAAGAGGCGTCAGGCCAGAGACGGCAGTAGTCAAACCCAGATCAAGCGGGAAAACGGACGAGCATAGACAGGCATCGGAAACAGACGAAAACAGGGGACAACCGGCGACGAACACAAACCCAGGGGACCGCCTTCTAGGTCCGAACGCAGACAGACGCGAGCACTCGGTGAGAACGCACGACAGTGACAGGACCCGCTAGCCCGACGTCAACACTGGCATGACAACCAACGTCAACACCGTTACGGGCACGTGCGAACGCGGCAGGGAGGCGAGATCCCACGAGATTGACAGGAACCCCAAGCCCGACGTCAATCGGATGGGCTGATCAGCTGTCGTTGCATGTGCGAATCACGCTCAGCTGTTTGGGCGCGCCCGTGGGTCGATGTCTGGCATTAGTCGTGTGACCTCCGCAGGTTTTGCGACAGCCAACTGCTTAAGTAGTTCGAAAGAATAAGTCCACCAATGCGGCCCCTTACTGATAGTGTCCTGGTTCACAACCTATCCTCTCGTCATCTCACGCAGCAACAGCTGGAGGTTTTGGCCTGGCAGGCGCACGCTGGTTTTCTACATTAGACCTTAAATCAGGGTACTGACAGGTTGAAATAGGACCTACAGACCAACACAAGACAGCATTTACCCTTCCACAAGGACTGTTTCAATTTGAGACGATGCCATTTGGCTTATGCAATGCACCAGCAACATTTCAACGCCTAATGCAACTTGTGCTTACCCATCTCCTGCCAAACCAGTGTCTGGTATATCTAGAGGACGTTATCGTTTTTGGACGCACGATAGCCCAACATAATCAAAACCTCACGGTCGTCCTGGTCGCACTGCGCGATGCGGGCTTACGCCTGAATCCACAAAAGTGCACATTTTTACGGGATAAAGTTACATATTTGGGGCATGAAATTTCTAAAGAAGGCATTCACGCTTCTCCGGAGAAAATCAATGCTGTTAAACTATGGCCAACTCCTAAATCCGTGACGGAACTCCGCAGTTTCCTTGGATTAGCATCATATTATCGGAAGTTCATCCTACATTTTCGCATCAATAGCTCGACCCCTACATCGTTTAACCGAAAAAGGACGTAAGTTTAGTTGGACTGACGAATGCCAAACTGCCTTCGATGATCTCAAAGCTCAACTCGTCTCCGCACCCATACTCACATTGCCGAACACTGAAGCAGACGCAGCGCCGTTTATCTTGGACACAGATGCCAGTGGTTTTGCCATGGGGGGGGGGGGAGCGTACTATCACAGGCTGATTCCACCGGGACCGAACGACCTATATGTTTCGCGAGTAAGATGTTATCCAAGCCGCAGCGTGACTACTGTACCTACCGCCACGAACTTCTGACCCTAATAACTTTCGCTAAACAGTTTCGAGCATTCTTAATCGGCAAACCTTTCATTGTGCGCATTGATCACAAAGCCCTACAGTGGCTACAGAATACGAAGGACGCAGAAGGACAGTTAGCAAGATGACAGGAAACACTTCAACAATTTACTTTCACTTGTCAGTACCGACCAGGAACTAAACACGCTAACGCTGATGCCTTATCTCGCCGTACTGACCAATCGAAATCAGATGCGACCGAGGAACCGATTGATACAATCAATGCGGTGCACATAAGCGAACCCACACGGTATCATTGGGCCGTTGCAGAAGGCACCGATCCAGACACAGCAATCGTATATAATCATCAACGTAAGGGCAGCCATCGGCCCACTGACGAGGACCTTGGAGGATCATCAGAGGCCGCACATTCCCTACGCAACCAGTGGCCCAAACTTTTCATTGACAATGACTTGCTCTTCTTTAAAGATACCACTTACTTCTACACCTCGTGTTGTCGTGCCGGGGACTTTGGTGATCCCTGTCTTAACCGACTTACATCATGAACTAGGTCATGTGGGCCAGGCCAAAA